GCACTGAGGTTTTATAATAGCCTTTCAGTAGAAATACTGAGGGCAAGAAAGATTACTTTTATGAAGGCATTTGCTCAGTTTAAGAAAGAGATTGTAGTGACGCGGTTGCCTGCCGGCGTCCATAGCTAAGGAGAGTTCTTCGAGATCTCACATACCTTAGCAGCTCTGTCCTTGCAGAGATCCTGGGGGCTCTGCTTCCTCACATGCTCACTTTTCCACTACAGGCCTAGAGCTCCTCTGGGAAGTGGGGGTGCCAAATACACGCAGTGTTTGAGAAGTTTACGATGAAGACCTTTGCGGGCTGAAAGGCAGCTAGGAAGTTACGGGTTAAGTATCTCCGAGATGAACGGCACTGAATTCCAAATGGGATAGGGCCACACAGCTTATTTATTGTAAACAAATGGTTATGATTCCTGTTAAGATCAACTTTTCATTTCTATAAAGCCTATTTTAATAACATGGCCAAGGCATCATTAAAATGGGAATATTAACTTTCCAATATTTTCTAAAATTGAAATAGAATCTGTTTTGGCAAAAACAGTGAGGTTGTCTACCAAGAAAAACATTTTAGGTAGTTATATAAGCAATAAAAATAAACGTTTTAAAAAATTCACCCAGAAGGACTTGTAAGTATTTAAAAAAACAATAATAATTAACCAGATTTCATAAGGTGTAAAATAGCCAAAAATAACAACTAGTACAGCTGAAGATGGTGAAGTCATTTCTTCTACTGCACTCCAAAGCCTGACCACCTGTAGAGATTAAAAAAATATAGCCAAAGAAATAATTCTCCTAATATGGACAGAGTGCAAAATTCTGTCTCTTACATGACTTCATGTTGCCAAAGTAACTGGAATTTTATACAGACTTAATAGGTTTTGCAAGTACTTGTTCCTCTGGCACAGAAGGAAACCACTGGGAAGACAGATGAAATAAAAGAATATCTATCGTATTTTACTTTGCATTAATAAACTGATACTGTTTATTTCCGGGCTCGTGCTCTGTATTGTCCCCTAAGGCAGCCTATCTTTCTCCACTGACCATCAAGAGAATCTGGGAAGAACAGATAAAGTCAACAATTTTTAGTACCTTTCGCTATGACATAGATGTAATAAATTTACTCTGTATTGGGCAAGGTATTTTCAGTAAAGAAAGCAATAGTAAATAGGATAAGATCTCATAGAATATTATATACCGTTTAGGATAGCTAAGTTGAAAGAAAGATTTACTCATATTAGAACAAGTTCATAAAAGAGCATGATTTGGGGATAAATTAGGAGGTGTTAGGAATTTATTTTGTCAGCAAAATGAAGGTTGAGATGGGTTATGATAGTATTTTATAAATACATTTGGGGGAACAAATTAAGAGAAAAGAGCACTTTAAATCAAAAGATAACTTGTACAATCAAAAGCTAGCTAGTATAAGATCAGGTCCACTCAAATCAGTCATGAATAAATTTAGCCTGAAATTTGAAGTTTTCTGAACTCCTGAGGTGCTAGAACTGCTCCGAGCTAGATATTGGAGCAAGGAATCTAAACTGTTTTAAGATAAAACTTGATCTTATTTCCAGGCTTCTATGAGAGGACAAAAATGATCCTTGAGTTAAAATCTAATTTTGGATCTCCCATTACTAATCTTTAGATAACTGATTGCTTTGCTATTCCCCCGCAAAGAGTGGATTTGAAGGAGACTCATTTGCTGCTTGTTGATCATATTAGTTTGCATGTATTCCTGATATATTAATCGTGATTCTCCAAAACATCTGTTGGCTACCTGAAAAAGCATTTGCTTTTACATAAAGGATTAGAGTGTTGATTTTACTTGGAAGCATTGAAGGTGGGCCACAGCTAAAGGCAGATGTGAGGCAGGGTACACTAATACCGACATCTTAGCTAAGTCTTCCAGATGTCTGGTTGGTGAACTTTGTGTTATACACTTGGATTAGATAACATCAATCTCCCCATCTGTATTAAGAAAGGAATTTTCCTTTGTGCAAAACTCTCAGAGGTTATTCAGATTTTTGCTTGTTTTTTGCCTATAGTATGGTAGTACAGTCCTTTCTCGGCAATTACCTGAGAATTTCTCCTAACAAATTTCCTGTTACTGTAAGGACTGAGTATTCTGATGACACCTTTTTTTTCTCCTGTCGGTATGTGGAATAGGTGTGTTCTCTGAACTTCCAGGACGAAATGCCTATATTGCTATGCAAAGGTGGTTTATAATGTAAATAAGTAAATAAGTAAAACAGACTTAGCTTCTAAATGAGCTGAATTTATGAACTATGAGTTGCTTAAAAATCACAAGTTATTTTTCTGTAGGAATGGATGACATCCTCTGTCTTACAGAGGATATTGTGTATCTATTAGAAATACTTACAGGAAATCAAAACTGGGTTCTTAACTTTCACATAAAGGTAGACAGAGTTGCCTTTTTAACAATGAGATTGATTTGTTATCTTCCCCCAGTTCCAGAGCCAAAAAAGGAGGCCAACAAACAAGATACACTTCAGTGTCCTTGAATCAATGCCTTAAGTCAACACATATTAATCTAATGGATTAATAATGTACTTTTTCGCAAAAGCTGATGGGCTTTGAAATGATTATTAAAATAACCTTTTAAGACTGGGCCTATTCACTAGCTTCACGTTTTTCTTTCTTCAGTCTACACACTTACTCCACGCTCAGATTTTGGGTGCCCAGTGCCTTAATAACTAAACACACACGTCCTGGGAACTAGAATTCCTCCCCCTCTTTCTCCTTGTCCTTTGGATCACAATTTGTTTGCTCACTTGTGTTCTGCTACGTAGAGCAAAATATTAATCTTCTGTTCTTCACCTTGGAATTTCCGTTCAGTTCTGTTTTGTCAAGTCTTCATTTTCTTTCAAATGTTGGAGTTCCCTACAGTTGGACCTAAGGTCCTTGTCAAGTGGCCCTGGCAAAGACTGATAGCAAAGAAACACTCTCTTTCATAACTGGAAAAAGTAGTTTATTTACAGATTAAGAAAAAATTGCATTGATGTAAATCATTCCTCTGTTTGCTTCACTGTACAATTTCTGCCTAGAAACTTCGTCAGCCCCTCTTTGGTTTGGCTTCCTGCTAAACTTTCATGAAAAAGTACTTCTCAGTGACGGACAAGGAATAATGTTGGGAGCCGATGCTAAAACAACATAGAAGAGTAAGAAGCTAAGTTAATACTCCTTTCACGTGATTTTTAAGGGATGACTAGGTCAACTGTCGCGTGCACAGCTATGCATTTAAATCGACTTCTCCTCACTAGCTACACGTTTTAACGTGGATTAATTAAACCGGTATGACCAAACCCGAGTATGAAAATTTCACACAAGTATTTACTGAAAGCAGCTATTTGGGTGCCACCCCTCCACACACGCACGCACACACTCTCACTCTCTCTCTCTCACTCTCCCAATCTCTCTCTCTCCGGCAGGCTTCCCATAGCGTGTGCACCCCCAGCTCCCCCGCCTGTTCTCTGCGGCGCCGGAGCTAGGAGACGCGACCCGGCGACGCCGCGGCCCTCAACTGTGACCAAACGGCGCCCGGGCCCAGGGAGG